AAAGCTCAGCTGGAGTTGAGAAATACAAGGAATGTTAAAGGAGCTTCACCTGATGAACAAAGAAAATGAGGAACCTTTGCTGAAAGGCAGATTTTGCAAGAGTGTGGACACAGATAAAACCGAAGTACCCTGTGTGCCTTCTTTGCCTCAGTCTTTACCAACACACTGGAGAATTTTTCAGAAAAAATACTGCCAGCAGTGGATAAAGATCAAATCAGGCTTCACTTGACAGTACTGAGTACGTTCAAGAACATTGAATGAAATGGATTGAATTTAAGATCCTTACGAGGGAAATGCCCTCATAAGACAACTTTATATTGGCTTTGAAAAGTCATGGGGACCAGGTGAGGTCCCTGACAAATAAAGAAAATCATTGCCAAAAAAACAAAAACAAAACCAACAAAACCTAAACCCCCCAAAAGAACAGTATGCAGGACCACAAGTTCATCAGCCTCACTTTGTTCCTCAGGAAAATAATACAATATGTCTTCTTAGAACACATGTATGGGCACATGAAGGATTGGGTGATAGATGGTAACTACAAACATGTAGTTATCAAATGTAAATTATGCCTGACCAACCTGTTTTTCCCCTATAATAAAATGACTCGATTTGCAGACCAGAACAGAACAGTGGGTGCCACTTCCCTTGATTGTAGCAAGGCTTATCAACACTGAGAATCAGAGAATACATTCAATATAGGAGTATTGATGTTACAGTCTGGATGGATGGACAATTAGAGGAGTTAACAACTGGTTGGATCATCATGCTCAGAAGGCAGCAAATGTGTTGTAACAATGGAGTAATATAGGGGCCTATCCTGAAACCTGTTCTTTTTTCTATTATCTTTGGCAGTGACTCTAAAATTGCATGCTCTTCAAGTTTGCAGATGACACCAAATTGGATGGAACAGTCAATACACTTGAGGGCAGAGCTGCCACGCAAAGATACCTAAACAGACAAGAGGAATGGGCTGACAGGAACCATATGAAATTCAACAAGACATGCAAAGTCTTGGAAAGGAATAACCCCTTGCAATGATACAGGCCAGGGAGCAGCTCTGTGTATAAAACCTTGGTGCATGTTCAGCAAGGGAGCTGCGAGCCAGGAGCATGCCTTGGCAGCAAAGAAGGCCTACAGTATCCTTGGCTGCATCAACAGTAGCGTAGCCAGTAGTCTGAGGAATGTGATTATCCCTCTCTAATCAGCACTTGTTGGACCAAATTTAGAATACTGTGTCCAGTTTTGGGCCCCCAGTCCAGGAAAGACACTGATAAACTGGAGCAAGTTCAGCAGAGAGCTGCCAAGCTGGTCAAGGAGACATGCCCTGTGAGAAGCAGCTACGGGAACAGCTTGTTCAGGCTGCAGAAGAGAAGGCTTCAGGGGGATTTACTAACAGATTTCCAATACCTACAGGGTGGCAACCAAGAAGATGGAGTCAGACTCCTCATGTTGACAGACAGTGAAAAAAGACAATAGGCATAAACTGAAATAAGAGAGGTCCCAACTCAATATCAAGAAAAAAACCCCACAACTTTTCACCGTGAGGACAAAAGCAGTGGAATAGGCTGCCAAGAAGGAGATTAAAAGCCTCCAAGGATGGAGCCTGTACAAAGCTTGTCTGGATAAAGCCCTGATTAACCTGAGCTGACTCCATAATTGACCCTGCTTTGAGTGGGATGTTGGACCAAAAACTTTCTGATGTTCTATCCAACCTGAATTATTCTATAATCCTGAATTTAAGCAATCCTATATACAATGTTTTGCATATGCTTGCACAGCTTTCCAGCAACTTTAGACCACAAACCTCCAGGGCTGTGTGAACACTGTCCAATTAACTCAAACATCCAGCACAAGTCTATCTAGAGTCCAATGTGCTTTCTCTCCCCAAATAGTACCGCACCTCGAGATGCGGTCACGGCTTCCCAATGGAAGCACCTAAGAAACAGCATTTTTCCTGTCGAGGGGAAGCAGAGAGCATTAATCCACATGGCGAAGGAGAGCTGTGTGATGCTCCAGCGGGCTGCGGAGGCTGCAGGGGCCCGCGATGCGGAGCCGCTCCGGAGCACCGCGCTCGCTCCGATGGGGCGAGCGGGACACGGCGAGCACGACCCGGCTCCGGCGTGAGCTGGGCGATGGTGACACCCAGTGGCCGCTGGCTGCGCCGAGGGCAGCGCCCAGCTGTGGGGAAAACACGCTGCCAACCTCCCAACTTCGCCATCTACAAAATCAGTGGGCATTGTTAAAGCCTATGTATATGAACGCGCACCCCACACATCCCCCCATACTAACCATGGAGCACAGTAACCAACGTGACAAATGACCTTCTGGCCTTCAGTTCTAACAAACTTGGGAAAAGTCATTTCAGGACTTCTGGCTTTAAAGAAAGGGTTTCCAGAATGATGGATTAGAACTGCAGTTTTTCATTTATACCAACAGGAAAGGGTTTTCAGATCCTAAGGTGCATAATAATCATCCATTTCACTGACAAATAAACCACTGATATGCTCCTTGTCAAGAAACAGATGTAAAAAAGTAGAACATCCAAGTTCTCCATTTACTGCATTAACATTGTCCAATTCTTAGATGTACCAATCTATAAATAGTTTTAGCATTACAAGTATTACCGCACCCACAAATATTAATGAAATATTCATGCTTGATTCTTGAAAGATTAGTGATGTCTTCTAATATTAGACATCTAGAGAATAAAGAGAGGCAATTTCAACACATCAGAGACTTGTAGGCATGTTCAGTCTTCAGTGACTACACCTTGAAACTACGAAATTTCATTTTGTCTTTCCATTTCTCCTGCTATCAGGAGATATTTGAATCAAATCACCATAATTTAATGAAACTTCCACTCTGTTTGACAGATTTCCCTTTGTTCATCAATCTACTGTTCACTTTCTTAGCTGAATGATGGGGAGATGAGAAATATTTTTTTATTCTCCACAGGTTAGCAGATAGATACTGCACAACCAAGGAAGTTCAAAATATTCTTAAGCACTTCCCACCGCTGTCCAAGGTCTTCAATTTGGTTTCTAGATTCCCAAAGCAAAGGAATCGGGTAGATGAAGAAAGCCTCTTTTCAATGTGTCCCACCATTTCTTTGGCTACTTTGTATTTTGTGGAATTACAAATTTCATAAGATCTCCACTAACAAAAATAAACAAATAAAAGATCTCTAATCATTAAGTAAAAAATGCAGCATTTTTCTTGTGGCATAGCCAATACAGAGGTCTGGTTAATGTAGATTGGCTAATCTCTGCATGAGAGAAACAGCAATACAGCAGACAGGTTGTCTAGTTTGCTCTTGGATTTCTTAGTGGTCTCCTACAGATGAAACAACTCAGGAATTTCCTGCATTGTTGACTTTTTCCCCCTCTGGTCTTTACTTTGCAGCAGTAACAAACTAGAGAAAATTTTTGCATAGAACTGGATCCTCTGAAACTCTCAACAAATACCACATGACAGGCAGGACACACAGTCCTCAATCCATGTGACATACCAAACACTTGGAAACATCTATAGATACATAGATAAACATTTTACACTGTGAGGGTATAAAGCCCATATGGAGTACAAATAGCACAGTACAGCCACCTTCCAACTTGGTCAGCAAGACAGAGCAATACTTACATATGTACAGCCAATTTAATGCACACACCAGAATCTGACATTAACAAGATTTATATCCCAAAATAAATGGCACTACAGGTGCAGCAGGGAAAGCTACACAATAAATATCTGAATGCTATAAAGCATTCCCAAGCTCTAGAGAATTCACCCAGCGAGAAACTGGTAACTGGTAAGCCAGCAACTATCCCACTTGCATTTTTCTCACATATAAACATTCTCTTTTAAAAAAAGGAGTAATTAACAAGATACAGCATTTTATGTTACACTTTTCTGAACTGCATTTGCCTGAAAAAGTCTTTTCATCCTAAAAAGTTCATGCACATAAATATTTTTCTATTTCTCATTTTTTATCAATATACAGTGCCAGATATTATTTAAACAAAGAAAAATAGCATATACTATATGTTGAGCTAATAGTTTTCTTTAATCATCAGCACAGACAGTATGTCTCTGGCATCCAGGACATTGAAACGAAAGAACAAAGAAGCAGAATAAAAAAAAACAAGACAAAACTGCAAAACAACTTCAGAAATACTTCCCACTTCCAGCTTCAATGGAAACTGAACATTGACTTAAATAATGCTTAATTATAACTTTTTGTTTTCCACTGTGAGGATTAGATTCAATTCAAACTTTTTTTAAAAAAATGTTATTTAGTATCAAGGACAGAACTATTATAGCTGATTTGCCAAAGTTTTGTATGGAAAAAATACTGATTGTAAATGACAAAATTACTAATTTCTATACAGCTTAAGAAAATAACTCTTCTCTCTGTAATAATGCCAGCACTTACCAATTCAAACCCCTGTGTTACATTTACACTTCTCTAATTAAGCACACATTTATAAGCCTGCTCAAAAGAGTAACTTCAGATCTTCAAATGTATTCAAAATCAGTTTGCAACTCCACCAGAGCCTCCCTAAGATATAGTTCTTATGCTTCACTTATATAACTAAAATGATAGAAAGAAAAGGCTAAATAATCTACATTGTCATTTGTTAGCAAAAATAGTCCTTTACATAAGAATAAACAGAATGAAATAACCAAAAGGAAGGAATTAACTAGCAAGAAGCAAGGAACATAGTTTATGTACCAGACTCACAAGACTGAAATCTCTGTAACTTCATTTACAACTAGGGAAGTAACCAAATCACCATACAGACATAGAATTGATAATGATTTAATATTTAAAAAAACTTCAAAAATTTATAAGCTTACCCCAACTGTTTTTCAATTATATTTTCAAATAAACATTTACTTTGAATTATTTAGTAAAGTAGATAATTTGATTTTCTTTTGTTCAAGCAAAAGAAAAAGATGGGCTCATCTAGACAAAAATCTCACAGAAAATCTATTACCTTGTATTTAAGATTTCACCAATAATTTCTTGCAGCTTGTCAATAAAATTAACAAAGCTGGAAAGCCCTTTTACATGTGCTCTTAAAGGATCATACAAAGACGATGCAGAGTTTCTTCCTCCAAGTTCTATGGTCCGGATAAAAGATGTTGCCATCTGTTAGGAGAAATAGTCAGAGATATCAAACTGTAGACAGACATGGATTGTACATATGTTGAAGTCTTTCCTACACGTCTCTAAATTGTTGTTGGCTGATAGCAGAAATAACTTACCTGAAATCAAACAATGGCTCTTCATTGCAAGCTTTGTACATCTCACCATAAATATTTGCAAGATCAATATTTAAATAGTAAAATCATATTAAAAAAAAGAAAACACAAGCCAAAGTAAAAATAACCCAGCCAATTTGATGTTTACATCACCCTTTTGAAAGCTTAGGACAAAAAACTTATTAAATCATGGCACAGAACTCTTTTGTTGTTGTGGCTGTTTAAAATGCTCCTGCTGGCCTCACAAAAACTATTCCTGTATTCAAAGTGCTCTCTATGACCCAAGGACAATTTTAACCTGAGCACGTAAAAGCTGACTTCAGCTTATAATAATTTTCAGAGATGCAAATATATACTCAAATCTTATCAAAAATCTTATAAAAAGTAATGACAGCTAAGGCTTCTGTAATTCTGAGAGTATCCATATCTTTTTATATGCTCTAAAAAAATGGAAAGATGTGCCAAAAGCATACCTTAAAGTACAACCCCAAAATTTTAAGGCAACAGTAAAAACCCTAGCAGCAGTTGTCCAGGAAAGTGAAAGTAAGGAGAACAATCCAATGCACTTCACACAGATGCAGTAATGTTAATTCTACACATGAATTTTAATTTCAGAGTACAGAGCTAACAGAGTACATGAATGGAAAGAGGAAAACTGGAATTACTCTAGCATATAAAGTAAACCTGCCAGTATTCCCGTCTTAGTGCTAAAGATTCCCTATGGATCAAGTACACAGTTCAGAGGACCTTGCCTTCCCAATGGAAAATACTCTAGTTTTCAAGATTTCTATAAGACACAGATGCCAGAAAAGATGACTTCTTTACACAGACAAGTTTCCCCTCTGGCAACTGTGAAGAGGATATGGTAAATCCAGTCCAAACACATTTTTTTTTACAATGTTAACAGAGCATTAGGAGCTAAAATAATTAAACCTGGAACTGAGATTTCACAAATTTTCCTTATTTATTCAACCATAAAAGTTTGAGAATGCAGTTGCTTCAGTGACTACATAGCCATACTGTTTCTAACTCAGACTGCCATTACCTCTGCACTGAGGTTACACTGCATGTGAAATGTAATGACTATTTTGGGCATGAGGGACTACAGAGGTTCTTTGGAGAAAGAATTCTTATTTACCTTACTTCAGCTATTTTTGAGATGGCTCTGTGCTGACAACAACTACTGCAAGATTCCAATTTAGAATTCTTGTCATAAACACAAAAAATAGCTTCGGTGTGTATCTTGAGATCCCATGACCAAATAAGCACCTGTTCCTCCCCACAGAATCTCTTGTCTTTTTAGCTTTAAAATTGTTTTCGTGGTGATATTTAACTTGGTTTGCAAACATCAGAGTTGCATATTAGATTAAATCCACATTCTCTGTTTGGAGATCTACTTCACTGACCCTGAACTCCAGTAAGAATCATTTGACACATACCAGGAAAATGGACATTTTTCTCTCCTGCGAGACATGTTTCAGGTTAGTGAAGGCTTCTCTACCAAGTCCTCTGTCAGGAACATTTAGAATATGAGCCAATGCCACATCATCCTTAGAATTCACCAAAAGGCTTAAATATGAACAGACAGACTTCTTTGCCAGGACTGTCACCTGCATGAGAAAACATCACACAAGTTGGTCACCCCGCTGCTAAATTATGTTCCACTTTATTTTAAAGTTAATTAGACATGTACCGATGTAATTTTTGGAAGAGTAAGAATTCACCTTGCATCATTTCAAAGTGCTACTTTATGCATGAGGATTCTAGAAGTCTTAATGAAAACAAACATGATAAATAAGTTAGAACTGCATATATGGTACTTGAATATTCACAAGGTGTTTGAGGGTTATTAAAATTGGTTATAAATTTCTGTTTAGAAACCTCCTCAGCGACATCCTTTTGCTATCTCAAGGCAAATATTAGCACCATTAAACCATGTAAGAATTTGTCATTAACTTCAAAAAGACTAAGGTTTTAAACTACTTGCCAGCTCTGGCACAGATTCAGTAATTTTTTCTCTTGGCTTTCAGACACAAATTGTGACCCAACCCCACCCATATAACCAATATATAATATTGTAATTGCCAATATGGCAGCACTGTTCTGGACCCTGTGAGAACATCAACCCCAGAAGAGAAGTATTTGTAGTTTTGCTGCAAGTAGAGAAAAAAAAATTATACCTGCTATGGATTATCTTCTCATACGACAGTACATATGCAACAAAATATAGTTACAGAACCAAACATGTATATGGGACAGTCTGCAAAGACAGTCCTCAGAAGAAGAAAAAAGAGCAAAGAATAATTTTACTGCACAAGTCAGAGCAGCAAGAAAACCACTGTGAGAGTGGTAGAAGTGCTGTTCAGGGCAGAACCTCAGTTCAGAAGATATTTTGATATAAAATATTCATAAAAATATTTTGATTTATACCCAAATATTGATTCAAAATTGCCATTTATTATGAGAAAAGCAAGTTTGGTTATGACTAAAGCTTCAGCATTTCAAACACAGCTTGAAAATACTCAGATTTTTATTTTGGTGGTTGAAAGGGTAAAGGGAAAGAGTCAAGTCGTCTATTGAGCCAGCCAAACCTTGTTTTGCTACAGCTACCACTACAGTGGCTATTCGGATTTCTTCCATATGTAAGGGAGTAAAAGCTAATAAAATGAAATCAAAGGAGATTACTTCATTTATTTAATGCTCAGTCAAGAAAATGCTTGAGCTATGGTGTATTTGTAGAAAAATTTGTTCTACATCAAGTGCCTTCCATTCTGGAGTGTGTTCCAGAATATGAATTTCAGCACATAGCCCCATACACACCTACAATATACTCAAGGGATACAGTTTGGATACACAGGTTTTATTGTTTTTAACCCAGCCACATTTGAATTACAATTGGAAAATAAATCTACATTATATTTAATCTTTTCAATAGATACAGAACATTACAAGACAAAAATAATTTTTACCTTCATTTTTACCTACCTCCTGGCCCTGCCTATTGATTTGCATAGGAGTAGAAAGAACGGAACCATTATCTTCTTGTGCACTCATTACACCAGAAATAAATTCCAACAGTTGAACCTTTAATAAAAAGACCAGAATAAACTTAAACACGCAGATGTCTAGAAAGCAAAAGTGGTTTTAAAACCTGATGTAAACCTATCTCTGTCACTTTGCTAGTGTTTGAGGTTAGCACAGCCCTTACAACCTACTTTTAGTTTTAATCTTCAATAGTACAACTGTTCTAGTAGAGAAATGAAGTGTAAGATTAAAATTAACTTAGAAATTAACACAAAGTTACGTTATGCACTTGCTCTAAAAGCCACTGCTTACATTTTAGAGAAAACTGAATATGTTTTGCCAAGTTTAGGAAGAGCTTGTTAACCCACCCAAGTCTATCTTCCCCATGAAAAGCAGGAGGAAAAGAACAACACATTAAAAACCCCAACGATACAAAAGATCTGAAATAAACTACAACAGAGCTGTGACTGAATGTGGCTGAATTGAAACTTCAGAAAAAAAACCACACCAAACATGCAAATACATGTATTTTACAGAAGTTTCGTTTACAGAGAATGGTGTTTTCAAAATGGCAATCATTAAAAATATTTTGGCTGCACATCAACATACAACCAAAACTCCATCACATATTAATTATTAGTCTTTGTTTCAGTTTTATCAAATCTCTAGAGTTTATTCCTCAGTCCAATTTATGGCAAGGAGTCATTTATTCATAGAAGAGTTGTGGGACTTCACAATCCAGCAGAACAACAGAGAAATAATTTTTGAGTGAATTTAAGATCCCTTTATAATATTTAGTAATTTAAACTCAAGTGCTTCCCCAACAGAGAAACAAAGTCACTTGTGAATAATCCAGAGCTCCCATGTATAATTAGAAGTGTCATAAATCCATAACTGGAACCAAAAAATACATCAAAATATAAGAGGTCAAACATAATACTTACAGGAGATATGCTTTCATCTTCAGCTAAAAGTCCGAGACTACAGCACTTCTGATATATGTCTATTAAATCTAACATATTGCTTCTTGCTAAGAAGGCATGATAGCCTTTTTTCACTTCAGCATAATTTTCAGGTTCTTGCATGTTTTCATATAATCCCATTTTGTCACGTAACAAATAGTTCCAAGTTTCCAACACATCACTAAGTGATACTGTGAAGTCTCCATGGTACTAATAGAACCAAAAAAAAAGCAAAAAATATATATTTCATATTCAGCATAGCTGTGAAAATAAATTTAAAACAGGCTGCATACATATTTGAAAATCTATCATAACCTAAATTTATCACAAAGTCTTACTTATAGTTGAGGCTCTTCCACTGCTTTGCATTTACAGTTGAATTTTGTTATATTGTCAGTATTTGTTCCTGATCTTCAAAGTAGCAGGCATGTATATCAAATTTTACATAAGAAAATACAGTGAATGATGTAGAACTACTTTTGCAGAAATTGTTTTCAGCATGGCAGGCAATTATTTCCAAAAGGCAGTAAATATGGCTCCCTTACTTTGTTTCAAGCAGTTGACTGGGAAAACATGTCACTTAAAAAAAGCTTTTCTTTCTTGTGTTAGTACAGTTATACTTCATCATAACATTGACAGTGCTGCTACACAGTTATAATAATTACATTAGAACCATGCACACCCCTCTGTTACTACTACTATAATTAACATTAACCATACAGTATAGACTGTACCCTTCCTGTCAAAATTATTAGATTATATTCCATGTGCCCCTTTGCCTTCTCCTCCAACTACTGACTCTTAAATTCTCTTTCACAACTCATCTTCCTTATTTTTGTCCACACCCTGATCTTTAAACTGAGTAGCAGTCCCCAATTCCTGCTGGTAAACTTTTGTCCACACTACCGGTATCTAAAGCATTCCCCAATATCTAGCAGCAAAAAAGGTGCTTTTCACCATGTACCATGAGATAAATGCCTGTGACCAAGTTACAAGCCTTGCTTTGCACTGTCCATAATGGCAGATGGCTCCTGTCTAGAGCAAAGGTTTCATTCTATTTCATTACATTTCCACATTGAGCAAATTAATTACTTATAAACACCATTAGCAGCATATGAAATAAGAAAACATGAGAAATTCTAATAATTTAGGTTGTTACAGTCCAAATGATCCCTCCTTTGGGTTCTAGGATATTTAGCACAACTTTCTCAATAGACCTCATTAAATACACAATTCCAAAATCCTGAAAGCCAACTATTTTTATATTGTCTAGGCAAAGAATTAGGAGTGAAAATTAAAGAACACTCATACTCACACATTTTACCTTCAGAGCATTTTTCTGCCTTCTAACTTGTGCATGGGTTATGATAAATAGCTTTAAACTTACATATTATTCCACATATCATCAGAATATTAAAACTGCATATGTGCTTTCTGAAAAGTATCTGATTTTTATTTCAGCCCCTCAAAAAATTAAACATATAATCATATTATAACCCAATTTAAACAGATCAAAGCAGCAGTAGATGTGGAAAAAATGTTGTTTTCTCACTTTATTTTGAATCAAAATGCTTCAGGAGTACCAAGCTAAAGTACAACTTCATATGGTATCTAATAAATCAAAACCTTTCCTCACCAGATCAAAGGCCTGCAGAGATTAGCAAAGTTTATGCTAGTACTGCAAAAATATTTTAAATACAAATATTGCATTCCAGATATTAACCTTTGTGATCAGGCATCCACTGTGGTGGCGTATTCCATTACTTAAACAGTCAATTTGTCAAGTCTCTGATTTTAAAATTAATTTTAAAAATACTGTGGTGTTTTACAGTAAGCATTTGTCAACTGGCTAATAGCTTAAGGAAGTTCAAAAAGTTCCATGTTTTCATTCTATTATAGGCAGAGAAAGTATTTCATTTCATAGAAATAGGCATTATAATAAGGTATTATAAAGCATCTTCACTTCCAGGTAATGCAGCATATTAACTTAGGACACTTATTTTAGAATGTCTGAAATCCAGCAGCAACATTTCATGCTTAAAGACACCATTTTTTACTATTTTGTAGGTACTGTAAGTTTTCTAGTGCTAGCTACTTAGCAAATCAATTTCTATTTTCACAACAAATTGTTTTAAAAAACAAAGTTATGAATCTCAGCATCAAAATGTTGGCTTCCACCTTCCCCAAATAAATGCTCACCAACCCTTTTAGGAATGTGTGCAAAAGACTGCTGTGCTTAACCACCACCCCTGTGCTGGGTCTATTCTTTCCAGGCATACTCCTGGACTGCAGCATTGTTTTCTGGTTTTGTCCTTGAGTTATGCAATTCTGCACACTTGTCACCTCTAGTCCTGCTCAGCCTTCGTTGCTTCCCTGCACTCTCACACAGCAGAGGGGTTTCCAAACTGTGGTACATAAAGCAAATTAAGGTAGGATAAAGCAGCATTTTTAACAAGTTTCCCATCATGCTGATAACGTTGTGCACAGATTGAAAAACTGGTTCATGTGAATACAAGTGCGTGGACATCTGGCAGTCGTTAGGTTGTGAAGTGCAGGAGCAGTGAAGGTGTTACAGACAAGTAAAAGGTATTATGAAAGAAAGGTTTTATAAAATCAGGCCTTGCTCTACTGAATTAACAGCTATCTTTTACTTCTAAGTGCAGGTAGCTAGGTTCCCATGCCAAACAATCTTGGAAACAAAAAGTCCATTAACACAGCAACCTACTCTTGGAGGGAAAAACAAGTTTGCACCTGCATAAACTATGAATCTGTCCCCATGAGAATCAGTGAAGAAAATATATAAAAACCCCTAGAGAGAGCAAATTTGATAGACATATACAATAGCCCTTACCAACCAATAAACTGTCACTGTAGAGCTTACCAGTTAGGTTTAACACAATGCCTTCTAATATTTCCTATAAACATGAGCTTTGTGAATAAAGAATTAGCTATTCTGCATGAAGAAACTGTGAGTCCCATCTGCTTTATTACTGCAACATGAAGTTACAGGCCAATAGTCTAAGCCTAAGGAAATGACAATATTGTAAAATAATAATAAATAAAATTACAATGGCATGGGTACTCAACACCTTTTTCTTTGGGTGGGTAAGGGGGGGTGTCAAGAGAAAAAGTACCAGGGCACAAGAGAGTAGAGGTATGCTCTGTATAAGGAGGACTAGAGAGGTATTGGATATATGGGTCAGTAGAATAGCAGAATCATGAAATACGCAAAGTAAAAATTGCATTCACCCAAAGAACAAACCAGAACTTTCTAAAGCAAATGCTATCAATTAGAGTGGTAATAAAAACACAAGATTGAAAATGTAGAACTCCACTGGTCAGAAACAAATGAAAGAACAAAAACCCCACACATTCTTGCTTCCTCTTCTACCCCTCAAAACACCTGCAATTACCACAAATTATACCTGTAATACTATAGAAAAAGGGGTAGGAGGGAGAAGAAAAACTCCTATTGATAAGCTAGGGAAGATGCATCAAGACTTACATAGCAAGAGTTTTAACACCATTAAAACAATCCCAGTTGTTAAGCAAAACAAAAATACATGAAACTATCTTATAGTTACAATTTGATTACACAGGGTATGGGAAAGAGTACAACAGCCTCAATATATAATTTCCTTTAAAAAAAATCCTGGGAAATATTTATTACTCCAAATTCTTTTCTAAAGAAGAAGTGTAGACAAGGCTACTCAGCACTAGTGAGACCACATTTAATACTGTGTGCAGTTTTGGGCTCCTCAGTATGAGGGAGACAGAGACACACCGGAGCAAAGTCCAAGAAAGTTCACATATCACCCACAGACTTCATTAAGAGACAGGAGCCCCTCTCACGCGAGGAAAGGCTGAGAAAGCTGGGGCAGTTTAGTCTGGTGAAAAGAGGAAGAAAAGATCTCCTCAATGCATACAAATATATGAAGGGAGGATGCAAAGACGACAGAGCCAGGCTCTTTCCTTAGGTGGCCAGTGGTAGGGGCAGAGACAACGGGCACAAACTGAGACACACACAGAACATCTGGAAACACTTCGAGAATGCCTGAGTAGTGGCACAGGCTGTTCAGGGAGGTTATGGAGTCTCCATGCTCAGAGACAATTTGAAAGACACTTGGACATAGTCCTGGACAACTGGCACTGTCAGGTTGCTCTATTTGAGAGAGGCTGGATAAGATGACCTCCACAGTTCCCTTCCAAATTCAACCCTTCTGTGAGTCTGTGAAAAATTAATCATGCTGAAGAAAAGCCAAGACAACCTCTCTTAATAGAACCATTACAACGAATTACAAGCAACATATCACATAAAATTGCAACAAAGTTAGTTAGGAGTGTCTCATTACCAAAAGGGAGACAGTTTAAGGGAGTAACACTGTTAAACTCCATTTTTCTTCATTTGCCAACATGGAAGCAGGACAATCTGGGAAATCATTTCAAGAAATACAAGACACAAAACAGAACATAATATTTTTCAGTCAGCATACAAAATGCACTCATGGAAGCACAGAACTAAAACACACACCAAAACTGCTTTTAAACAAAATCAGAAATATACAAACACAAATATCTAAAGGGAAGATACATTTCTAAAATCAACAATAAAGCAGTTTTTCGTCCAGTATCAAAGCTCTCATTCTAGAAGAGACTGACAGCCCATTTTAGTTGCACAATTTAAACCAGCAGATTCTGGAAAAATAATTGTTTTATAATAACTATTATGATAAACAATTATTAAATAATAATAGTTTTATTCCATTTCTTATCCCATTAACTAAAACAACCATAGTCTGAAAATGACAGCTGATTATCTGACCTAATCACTCATCTTCTATCCCTTCTGATCCACAGGTAACATAACAGTAAACTTAAAGCAATTACTCTCAACTGAACTCCATCCTGAAAACTGTTAGCACTGTCAAACCCTGAGGAAGGTCCTTCTCCTTGAAAATGTTCCTAGATTTTAGATTTATAGTAATCAATCTAGGTGAAAGATATTTGCTTCCACCACAGACCTTATGCAAAATGGCTACAATGTTCTACAAACCAAAGTGTTTTCAGAGTGATTCAGAGCATAGATTTTTTTTTTTTTCTTTCACCCCTGCTGTTTGATCAGGGTTTATCACATTTTTTGCTACCCTCATTCTGGTGAAATTTAAGATTCATAGATTATGAAGCTTTTAAACTTTTATAGAGTACTCCAAAAAGCTTTGTTATTTTTCATTTCCACTATGGATACAGGTACCAGTTAAAACACCAAATCCACTAAAACTGTCCAGGCTTTGAAAAGAAGAGAAGTGTATTTTGGTTGTTTGTGATAGCTTGGATGTATTGGGTTTTTCTCAATATGGCTGCTCAACAGCCTGTTAATGAAATTATTTTTATTGCAGTAATTGACTTTATCTAAACAATTTCCATTCTACAGGTGCTAAGGGACATGCCTACAACTGTAATACTCTGCATCTTCATTTGAAGTTTCAGTGCTGAACAAAACAAACAAGACATATTTTGCTTTAAGACTGAACATCAAAATAAATACCATCTAAAGAAATTGTGCTTCAGAGGCAGCACATGCAAACACTAAAATAGTTTTAATCCACATATACAAGCCAAGGTTTGTCTTATTAGACCAACTAGTATAATCAGAAAAAACAAATCAGGTTTTTGAAAATTTGTTCTTTCTTCAGCTCTGAAGGCAAAGCTAAACATTTCAAAATTAGATTAGTTGAAAATAACTGCAATAATTTTTGTTTGATCATCTCTGAAAGAAAAGGTATTTATGGAAGATAGGGATATTATCTAGAAGATGGGAAAAAAAGGAGAAAGTAGACTAAGCTAATTACCCCTACAGAAAGGAAAAAAAAATATTGTAAGGGAACAATGAACCATAACCTTTACATGTCTGTAAGTTTTGGCATAAAACAGAACACATTTTAGTTCCCGGAGCTGGCTTTGGAAAACAGTTTGCAGTTCTCCCTTGAGAATCACAACAGACATGACAGTGATTGCCTCCATGTGCAGTTTTACATTACTGTCTTTTATCTGTTTTCCAAGAGTTAATTTTGATGCACACTAGTTTTCTCATTTTAATCTACACAGGTATTGTGAGTACATTCCAAGAACTACAAATGTAGTATCTTGGCATTCTAGTATCCGTACTATAATGTTTAGAACAGTGGGGGATGACTTAATGTTTAGACAAGAGATACTCCTAGTCTGCACATTTTAGACTACAAATTTATTTCTGATCCACAAACTGAAGCACTTGGGTTTTTTACTCACTATGGGATTTCACTTCGATGTGGCTCTGTTATTTGTGGTATGTTTGTTGATTTGGTATGCTCCTTCTGGTTTTCTTAAACTAAATCTTTGTACTACATATATGACTTACTATGCAACACTTGAGTAAGTCTTCCAACAACAGTCAGTATTGTTTTCATCAATAATTAGGTTAATTTGACCTAAAAAGGTATCTTTGGTTTATTTAAACAGGTATTGCAGTTGTTCTCCTTAGATGAGACACAGGCAAAGGCCTAATTGTACATTGCAACTGTTTCTGGTATGTTCCAGACATCCTCCAGCTCTGACAAGCCACAGCACTTCTTTCATAGACTCTTTAGGGTTATATCTCCTCTTCACCGTTCGACAGACACTTCACATACACACACAAAGAAAGCCATATAACTCCTACTGGTACTGGGTACGTACTCACATATAGGTCTTCACCTGACAAGTATCAGGAAAAGCAGGAGGCAAGAATGGACTGTGGCAAGTACAACTCACACAAACCATACCAAATCAGTTTTATATTTGTGTTCTTCACATGTCATTCAAAAAATATTTTTGGAGCATTCAGAAAAAAAATGCACCTCAAATACCATAGTTCTCCCACCCTGATAGCACAAAAGAAACATTGGATGGAAATAAAGAGGAGTTACACAGTCAGCAGAAATACACTAGTGTTTAAAGTTTGGACCTGAAATATACACATAAAGCACTTCTATCCTCCCATCTGTCTTGCAGTTCCTTTTTCTAACTCTGCTTCAGTAGTGGACTTAATCATATTGATTTTCTTGCCTGCATCTGGCCCTCAGACACACCTCATTTTAACAAACAGCAAGGAAGTGGCCAAAAAAGTCATTTCAAGTTGGTGCCTAAGCACTAAGTGCAGCAAAGAAACCAAGTGTGAGGTGTACCAAGAACATACTGAAAAGAATGCTAACCTGTTTATTGACTTCAGCCATGGACAGTTGTAACGCCATCAACATGCAGTCTGCTCCACATACAGTAGTCCTTTCGGAGTTGGAAAATAAAGGCCATTGTTTTCTGAAACACTTAACCAAGTGTAAAATTTTTTCCCGGAAAGTAACCATTGTGCAGAGTAGAAGATAAAGATAATTGAGAGAAAAACGAATATAACTACACCAGAGGCATTTGCATATGTCTTCACCTCTCAACAAGCTGTGCAAACACTGTCGTATCTTCTTAAAGACCAAGTTCCTAGAATAAACCCTTCCAACTAAACCGAACTTGCCTTACTGTGACAGAGCAACTGTGAAGGAGTTAAAAGTGCTTATGCATGTCACGCCTTCATGAAGCCCTTACTTTCCTTGTACGTTATGCCAACATAAAGGAATGTTATCACAAATATGACAGTCTTTGTCTCTAAATGCAGCTTCAGAGTGTCTTCAGTACTTTCTGCATTTGCTATACATTCAGATGAATGTCTATGAGGATGTCTTAAACCTGGAAAAAAAGAGATTTAATATTTCTAAGACTTACTAACACAGACAACTCTAAACACTTTTCTTACCAGTATAGCATTTTTCCGGTTTTTTTTAAATTTGAGGGTTTTTTTTTAATTATATAAACCATTATCTTCTCTGACTATAATTGGACTATGTCATGTTTTAGCCTCTCTCACTTTCCCGCATTTATCAAGACAAGATACATGACAACATGGTACAAACTTGCCTTTAAACCTGTTATTTTCTGAAACAAAGTTCCCTAACACTGCAGTGACAATACAGGAGCCATACCCATTCCGTTTACTTCCAGAAGACAAAACTCAACCTTTGACCTTTTTCCATTAAGCTGAGGCAGAGCCCACGGCCCGTTCGTTTTCTGGTTATCGGTACGACGGTACCAAGTGAGGAAGTGTGGCCGAGGGGCAGGGAGGACGGGGCACATCGGGGAACAAGCACGACTGCAACAGCAGCTTCTCGCTCTCCAAAATGTTTGAAGGGGACAAGGCACTTCATAATGTGAAAGTCACGTGTGGCTCACAGAGGATGAAACAGGTGGGCAGCAAGTCGGCGTGGGGGCCAGTAAAATCTCTCCGGAGGCTTTCCTTTCTCCCCACCCTGCGAGCTTTCCAAGGGACCATACCTGCCGCTCCCAGCGAAACAGCCCGAACAAGCCAAAACCCCTGCGAAGCCGCCCCTAACTCCCAGAAGCCGGAATCGGCATTCCCATTACCGCCGAGCGCTCCCGGCTGCGGCCGCGCAGGGCCCCCGGCCACCGTCCCCTCAGCGCGGTC